GGTTCTCTATGGGAACTGGAGGAACGTGCTTTGAGGGCATTTGTTTAAACCACTTCTTCAGAAAGGAGCTGGAACTTGCCTGGATCTAAGTTGCCCATATATCTGACACAAAGCTCAGTATGGCATCACCAGGTACATGAATCATTTTAGGCTACACTGTAGTAATCCCTGCTTTAAAGTTAAGCAAGTAAAGGCTGCATAATTTTTTTGTTTTTCAGAATACAAAAGTTACTTGCTATACCTCGCTGGCATGGCTGTTAAGTACATCAGTCCCTAGCTGATGGAAATTCACCTGGCTGCCGTTCCCTCTGAGAGACTGCCACGGTACCAAGACTTTGGTAGAAGCCTCACAGTCAGCACTCACATCGATGTGATGCCCGTTAGGTTGGTAACTGTCAGAGGTGAGGCTGAGTGTGATACGCTACAGTGAGCTCAAGATGCCAGTGGTGTATGTTGGTGGAGCTGACATTCATGGCTTTTAGTCATTCTCTGCAGTTCTGCATTGTTTGCCTGAGGGTACGCTTTGGATCAAAGGGTTGTTTCAGCAGCAGCAAACACAAAATTGGCAGAGGACAGCAGGGCAAAAGGTTAAACCTCAACTTCAAAACTAGTTGTGATATTGCCCAGCCCCATCAGTAGTGCTACAGTGTTTTGTCCTTACAGTAGCTAAAGCAGCTTCAGGAGGAGATGGGAGAGGGCGCTGGGACTCTGTGTCTGTAAAAAGCTGCCACACTAGAAATACTCAGCAGCCTTTCTCAGATAAGGGGAGGAAGCAAAACCCACTAGAGGAACAAACAGAGAGAGAGACTGGGCAGTATACATGGAAATACTTACCTTTTAATTTATTTATGTACATGTCGTTAGGACATGAGTGTTTGTGAGATCTTGGAAGGACAATTTATGGCTTGATTTTGAGTCACTGGAGCTTCTGGAGTCACTTAGAGCTGATGGCATCAAAACCTTTCTTACAGAAGGAGGAAGGTGAAGCAAGCTGACAAACTGTGCACTTCTCAGGGTGATGGACACATTTATGGTGCAAGGACCCCAGACAGCAGTGCAGGTGATACTCACCGACTCCTGCCAAGCAGCCACATGGTGCTGCCAGCAAACCTGATGATTGAACACAACATGTTTGGTGTTTGTAACACAGGTGCAGGCTTAGTTTTATGGTAGCATGAAATGATAACACAGACAGTCCCGCTTCACTTGGAGGTATCAGGTATCTGTCTGGAGCTCACCTGGGTTGTAGAAAACAGGGAGAGCTTGAGCCCTGCAGAGTGAGAAAGTACACTGCAGGTGAAGACTCCATGTGAGGTCCTCCTCCTATGCAAGCAGTGAGAGCACACTTCCAGTAGCTCTGAATAATTTTACACTTGGCCTTAAAGTTTCACATAACCCCAGGGGACATAGCTGTCCTGTATTTCACTGAGACTTCACTCAAGGACTGCTGCTTGCTACAGAACACACAGCTTGTTCATCCATTTTAATTTCACATCAATTCAGCAACTGATTGAATACAGCGTATTTATTCCCTTCCAAATAAATCTCAGAAATGAAGCCAGCATCCTGCCCATATCACAAACATTTCAGTATTGCTCAATTAGCAGTTCCCACTGGTGCCTTTGCTAATGAAGAGAGTGCTACATAATGGCACCTGTAGCTGGTTAGATGAGATCAGTCCAGTTAGATTTGACAGTCATGGTATTAGACACAGAGAGTGGTTCGCTTGCAGACCGTAACGTGTCGATTCAAAGAGCAGATGGGAGGTATTCACTGCTTCAATCTTCTTTGCCAACCCCTGGAGCAGAATATATGTATGTATTTCCAGGGGGGAACAGTAAACTGTCAGTAGATTTATATCCAAACATCTTCCATCTTCTTTTTGGTTGTTCCTAAATGCATTCAAGTAGCTCTTGTGCATGAAAACAGTACCCATCATAGGCACGTTTCCCTCAAGAAATCTCTGTATTGCGCAATAAAAGAATAATTTTCTACTCTGTGTCCCCTTTTATCTCTGCTTTACAAAAAGGTTCTTGAAGGCATTGTTGTAATTTTTGTTAAATGCCGTATAAATGAGAGGATTAAAGAAAGAATTGGAGTAGCCAAGCCAAAGAAAGATGCTTTTCCAGATGGGTGGGATGTTGCAGGAACAGAGGGGACTTATTAATTCTGTGATGAAGAAAGGGATCCAGCACAGCACAAAAACTCCAATTAAGATGCCAACCATCAGAGCTGCCGCCTTCTCTTTCTGTTCTCTCCACGTTTCTCCATCTGTCTGGAAAGTGATAGCTGCATGACGAGCTGTAAACACCATCTGTGGTTCATGTGAAGCTTCCTTCACCTCAAAACAAAAGCAAACACAGATTCTTACTGAGACTGTTTGTTTGAGTGAAGTATTACTTTTAAATGACAGCACAACATCTGTGCACCTACCACAAAAGGCCTGAACTCCCTTCCTTCCATGCTAAAAGAAAGAAAATGCCCCAGAGCGCCAAAATTACCAGACTTCTCATTACATCTGAAAAGCTGTTGAGTGTGACTGACAAAGCTAAATAAATAGAATAACCAATGCCACGTGTGTTGTGGGCATTCTTTTTCAGTTTACTGGATGCCTTGATAACTAGTGGGAAATCAGGGTGGTAAGGAAGGCTAACAAAGGCAAGTGCCTTCTGCCCATCTCTCACCTGGACTCTCCAACGCTGCTATATTGACCTTTAGGGTTTCTCAGGCCTAAATCATAAATGAGTTTCATTTCATTGCGGGCCCTTTTGGTTCATTTCGCTATGGTATTAGGGAGGAACCTGCCACAAATGCCTGCTCTTAAAGCTATTTAGCCTAACTGCCTGGATTCACAGCTCAGAATCCCACCTCTGGTGGGCGCAGGAGCTTGGCACTACTACTTGTTCTGCAGAAAGGACAGAGCATACCCCAACAAACTAGGCTAAATCTGCAGGAAATATTTTCCATCAGAACTTTTTAAATGAAAGAACAGGATTTCAGTTAAAGGAAAGTTTTAAGAAATGTGTCTGATCTTTGGAAAATACCAATATTCCATTACCACCACACCTCCCCTCCCCCCCCCAAAAAAAAATCATACATGCCTGAAATAAAACTGAATACTTTGGAAATATTTCAGTGGAAAGTAAACCCAACAAGAAGAGTCCCTTACAAAAGACAGAACTTGGGTGTCTTCTGCTCCTCCTTGACAGAGGCTATCTTATTACAGGCACTTCTCCCTTCAGGAGAGAGACAGATCACACCTGCTGCTGCCTGGCCAGTGCCAACACAGTATACAACAGTGGAATCATAAGGATGCACCTGAAATGATGCACCCTCAGGTGCTGTGCCACCATTTGGAATTAGCTCATAAAATACTCTGATAGTAATCAACAAAAAGCTTTGCTGGAGAGCAGTGTTTTCTGGTCCTCCTTTTCCTTCTTCTGTCACCTGTCCTTTATTTCACTCAGATCTAGTCAGTATTCTGGCAAAAAAAGTATTCTATTGCCAGAAAAACATGGTTTCAGTCACCTTCAGTTCAAACTCTGGCTTGAGCAGAAGTTACACAAGCAAGGAGAAAACTTCAGCTACTCCAGGCTGCTGATGGTGCTTCTTGTCTTCTCTTTCACTGAGGGCAGGACGTTTATCTCTGCCATGAGTACAGCCCAGTGCTCCAGGTGGCAGCGAGGCCGTGGAAAACAGGTTCTGGGCACAAGTTATTATTCTGTGCTCAGAGTCTAACCAGAAAAAGATACTCCCTTGAGATTTTAATCTGAAGATTAAAGTACCTGTGAGTTTAAAGTTCTTCTACATGCTTCAGTTATGAAGACAGTGCAATAAAATAAACAGTTTAAGGATACAACCTGAGGGTCTAAAATTTGCCTAAGTGATAATACACAAGCACTGCAAGACTTTGTCATGGCTCCAAAGACAGCTTATTGTTAAATCAGCTACGTATTCCACATGCACGTGCCACATTTGTGCAAGCTTTATAATAGATGGAGGGCTTCTACTTGATACGAGCACAGCCACTCAGAGAGGGAAGCGCTGGCAAAGGCTGGACAATCACTCTTCAAGATGGATATCCTGTCTTTACCCTCAGATACGAGACATGGCTGCAGAATGTATGAGCAGCAAATTATGGGTGCAGGCAAATAATGGAGGAAAATGAAAATCACATCTGTCCTGACAATTAAAATGGGACACCCCTCATGTAGCAAGGATCACACCATTTGTCTCCAGAAAGACTTGCTCTACACATCCTTAATCACACTCTGCAAAAAGGGATGAATATATGACACGAGGACAAATTTGTGACAAGCAACCCTGAAAGATTACGTCTTAGCCCTCAGGAATAGCTACATAAGTATGCCTCTTGGGAAGAGCCATACAAAGGACTTTGTCACTAGCATTGGGCATGGTTTGGCACTATATTTAACCTTCAGCTCTTACTCAGAAGATAGAGCTTGCAGTGTGCCACATCAAATCAGTCTTTTTGGTGTGTAAGGTAAGGTTTTAGAAGGCTTGTAACTGAACTGCAAAATTTACTAGTAGCAACTCTTTTATCATTTAATTACATATTACAGGAAAAAGATACTTATTTTTATAGAAGATACCACAGTCCTGAAGTGTTTTCCTTAATGGAACATGTATTTATAGCCTGGCCAAGCTCCTACTGAAATCAGAGGAGTTTTCACAAACCACTGGTTGTTAGATCAGGCCTCTGAATACTGAACAGCAAGTGAAAATAGATCCTGGTATTTTTTGTAAATTACAAGACAGTAGTTGTCTTCCTATCTGCAGAATTTCTACTTTCTCTGTTGTCATAGTTTCCCCCCCCCTCCAATTATTTTTTCACTAGTTCTTCCTGGGACTTCTCAATAATGTTGTAGTAACAGTAATAATGAAGTGCAAATAGCAGCCTGGTGCTTTAGGAAAAATAATGGGATGTCTCCTTGAACCTTCCATTAAGTAACCTGTGTAAATACCCCTGGCAGACTGGAGATATTTAGCTTCAATTTTCCTTAAGAAATCCTTTGAAAAGGACACACAAAATGTTCTTGAAAAGGTAACTAGTATCCCTACTCAGCAAGGTCCTTCAGCCTGTGCCTCAAACAATCACACAAAACAAGGAAGCTGCATGAAAGCTCAGCTTTCCATGATGATCAGTGTCTCATGCTCACCCCCTACGATGTTGCTAGCTGACCAGCCACACATGCTGTGACCGCCCCTTGCTCAGTTGGCTCTCCATCAGGCTCACCCACCATGAGTCCTGCCTCTTGGGCATTCCCAGCATGGGCTACTGTTCCAAGTGCCAGCCCTGGCATGCACCCTGCTACTTGGCAGACCTGTGATCCACTGGCCAGCTGCTCCTGGCTTGCACTACCACAAAAGGGACCGGACTTCACAGAGGGTTTCTAGTGGGGCCCTGTGCTCAGCACTCCTGTGCTCAACACCCCTGTAAATGCACCTGCTCTGCAGTTCTGTGATCCCTCCCTGCCTCAACTCAACTACTGAACTACTACAGGACTGCCAGCATCTCATCCCTGCTGTGCGGTCAGATTCCTCAGGGAACAAGTAAGTTCACTAGATTTTTGATGGATTTAGTCTGAAGTGCTGTTCATATCAGAAAACATGCATCAGTTTAGAAGGACAACAAAGCTGGTGGAGTGTCTAGAGAATAAGTCTTATGAGGAACACTAAGGGAAGTGGGGTCGCTTAGTCTGGAGAAGAGAAGGCTCAGGGGGACCTTATCGCTCTCTACAGCTACCTGAACAGGGGATGGAAAGAGTAGGTGCTGGTCTCTTTTTCCAAGTAATAAGTGATAGAACAAGAGGTAACGGCCTCTAGCTGCACCAGGAGAGGTTTAGATTGTATATTAGGAACAATTTCTTCATTGAGAGGGTGATCAGGCATTGGAACAGGCTGCCCAGGGAAGTGGTGGAATCACCATCCCTGGAGTGCAAAAACCGTGTAGATGAGTACCTCTGTGACATGGTTTATTAGTGGTCTTGGCAGTCCTGCCAAGTTTGGACTTGATGATCTTAGAGGTCTTTTCCAACCTAGTTGATTCTGTGATTCTATGAATGCATACTGCAAAACTGGGCAAGTCCAAATTTTCACTATAATTTCAATTTTTTAATTTTCTTTATTGCTCTCTCTATTATTTGCTGCAGACTTCACTCATGTTCCTGGCCTGGCTGGCGCAAGATTATTCTTTTAACAACTATCAGCCCCCAAGACCACATTGTCAAGACTGTCATAAACACAAAGTACCTGGAAAGTAAATTAATCTACTGTAGGCAAACACTGTTGTGGTACGCAGTACTGGCAGGGGACCCATGCTCAGGGCTTCCCTCCCCCCATGCAGTCATGGGGTAATCCACTGCAGTTTGGCATTGTCTGAACATGAGCACAAGCCAAAAAGACTGTGTAGCTGTTAGTCACAGTATCTGACTGTTATCACTGTGCCACATGGAACAAAGGACAAGCCCAGTCCTTTACCCCCATTTTGGGCCTACTGATGAGCACTAGGGAGCAGGCTACGACAGGGGAAAAGGTGGTTGCAGACTGTAAATTAAAGGAATCTGTTAAGATGCCTTAGTTTACACTGGACACATCACTCTTATATGAGTATCTCTTCAGAGTGTTGCACACTGTTCTCATTCAGTCACTAGCAACATGCTATGCCTTGGGCACAGATTTCCTTCCATCCGCCCAGGGACTGCTCCAGGCAGCAGCTACAGGTCAGGAGCAGTGGAGAAAAAAGCTGGTATAAAAAGACTGCTATTCTGAGGCCAGAATTAGGTTCTGAATTCATTACATCAGCTATTTCACAGAACCACAGAACGGTTGAAGCTGGAAAGGACCACTGGATATCATCTAGTCCGACCTCCAGGATTGAGCCAGATTACCTAGAGCACATTGTTCAAGATCATGTCCAGACAGCTCTTGTGTATCTCCAGGGAAGGAGATTCCACCACCTCTCCGGGCAACCTATTCCAACATTCAATCAACCTCACAGTTCAGGTGGAACCTCCTGTTTCATTTTATACTCACTGCCTCTTGTCCTATTGCCTGGGACCTCCAAGAAGAGTCTGGCCTCATCCTCTTGACACCTTTCCTTCAGATACTTACTTACACTGTAAGTGTGTAAGTATCTGTACACCCTGAGCCTTCTCTTCTCTGCACTGAACAGGCCCAGCTCCCTCAGCCTTTCCTCATATGAAAGATGCTCAAGACCCTTAATTATTCTAGTAGCCCGTTGCAGGACTTGCTCCAGGGGCAACGGGCTCTGAGAAGTGCAGAGATGACCACTTTCCAAGCAGAGGAAAGAGAGTTAAATGAAGGAAAAGAGCTCTCAAGTACAAATTCTTCGACAGACACAAAGGAATTTGGTTTTAGTTTCAGAATTCATTCTTCTGTACGTTGATCGGCAATTACAGTTCAATGCCAGTTTTGTTGTTCGTCTGTTCCCAGTAAATTACTGCTACTGAATGGCTGTATGTTCCTAGAGCCGTCTGTTCCCAATTCCTGTGCTCCTAACAGCAGTATAATAAACATGCCACCACGGAGCTTCTGATGAAATCCCTTGATTTAAAGTGTTCCTTATAGCTTTAATGATTGTTATTAATGATCCTTCACATCAGGTACTGTGCATGTGTTTGTACAGTACCTCCAGGGTCTCCAATAACAGAACAACAGTAAAGGTGATAAACATCAATCAAATCTGACTGCAAGTTCAGAGTTTTGCCTATTACCATGTGATTCAGCAAAGATGGTTCCTGCCTCAGTGCAGCTTTGGCAAACTTCAAACAAGAACACAAGAAAATGAAATGCACAGCAAAGGATCAAAACATAGCAATGCCTACATTTTCTTGGATGCTCCAGCAATATGACAAACAGTACATTTGATAGGGAAGAGAACACCTGCTTTCTGTCACAGGATCTGCTGCTGCTGTAAACAAGAACAGCTCTGCATTTTTCCAAGGAAATCGCTAGCCACTTTGCTTCCTGCTTCACTTTCTCTTACCTGACACTGAGGGTGCCGGAGAGGGACTATTCACAAGAGACTGTAGTGGTAAGACAAGGGGCAATGGGTTCAAACTTAAACAGGGGAGATTTAGGTTAGATATAAAGAAGTTCTTTACTGTGAGAGTGGTGAGTCACTGGAACAGGCTGCCCAAGGAAGTTGTGAATGCTCCATCCCTGGAAGTGTTCAAGGCCAGGCTGACAGAACCTTGAGCAACCTGATCTAGTAGAAGGTGTCCCTACCCATGGCCCATGGAACTAGATGATCCGTAAAGTCCCTTCCAACCCAAACCATTCTATGATTCTACCTGCTGCCAGTTTTCTAGACAGTTGCACTTTGTTTCCTGATTTATCTCCTCTACTTATACAGTCAGAGGCAGAAATAAGAAATGGAAGGCCTGCAACTGCTTCAGAGGAGAATCTGTTTTCTCTCCCATATGGTCCATATGGGTTGGAGAAGCCAGCAGGCCAAGGTGTAGAACACTATACTGTTGGAGTTCTGGGGCCTGATACTACTTAAAACAGGAAGGATGCTCACAAAACTGGTAAGGTTTGTCTCAAGCCTAATTACTCATACACTATGCAAGGTACTTAGAGGGGAGAAAGAAAAAAACAATCAAACAATCAAAACCCACAACCACCAACAGAACTTGATTTTGAACTCCTCACATGACTTTGAAATTGCTACATGTAAATAATCCTGACATTCAGATTCTGCCATCCTTGGTTTTGCCAGGCAAAACCTATGTTACAAGTGACTTCGTTGATCTAAAAGGGCACTATCCAGTAAGGTTTTCAAGCGGTTTTTCAAGCAGTCTCATTAATTTCAATTGGCCTACTTATGGAGAGAATCATTACCTGCTGTCAACAAGGTGTGACAGAGTATAGCTCTCTGTCAGTGATGGTATGTCACTAGTTTTTTCACAAGGCTCACTCATGTCAGTATTGACTGTAGAATTCACTTTCGAAAGAGTTTCATAACCAAAAAAAAAAAAAAAAAAAAAAAGCACCAGTCTAATTTAGGGTCTCAATTCTGCCTTTTTTTTATTTTGTTTTGTTTTGGGTTTGGTTTGGTTTGGTTTTATTTGAAGGGGAAGTAAGAAACAAGCTCTCATTCAAACTAGAAGCACCTCAGATGTTTCATGTCCATGTCTCTTGCCTGTTTCTTTTTAACACTTCAAGAAGAGTTTTTCAAAATCACAAGTAAAATTTTAACCAAAAATTACTCAAAATAGTTATTTTGTAACTATTCTTTTCTGCACCTCCGAAAGAGTATAGAAACATAACTTACGTATGCCAACTCTCAGCTCAGAGACAACTGCCCTTTCTGTGTGTGTGTGTGTGTATACACACATGTATATACACAGTGGCAACCTGCAAACTTTGGTGCCTGGCTCTGTTCACTGGAAAGCACTGTACGAAATATTAAGGTACTATCCTGATTGTTCCTCTTGGTACATTGGTTTCTTCAAGGTATTTCTACTGGCATATGACCTCAAATCTTTTCCTCTTTAACTTGCTAGAATCAACCAGCTACACTGCTGGGTATACTCCATGCCATAGACTGCAGCCCTGGCATGCAGTTCCAGTCTAGTGCTACCTGACAGCAAATACCCAAGTACAACACAGATGTGTCTCCCAGAAGGAGTCACTGCTGTTTCTACTCACCTCCAGCCTGGGAAGCACCGTCAACCTTGGGCATCGGCTGCCGAAAGCCCCTTTGATGTCACTCAGATCAACTAGTGCAGGGCACCCAGGGAGAACACTGACATAGATGCAGAGGGCACTTCGCACCCAGCTTAACAGTGACAGAAGAAAACTGTTCCAAGGGCAAGCATGACAGGTGAGCATTCTCAGAGAAGGAAGGCAGGAAAGAAAGTAGAGGTAGGAGATATGTTAAGGGAGAAAGAAATGGGAAATTAGAGTGAGTTGAAGGGCAAAACAAGTGGAGCAGAATTTGCCCCGTAAGAAAGAAGGACAGACCTGACTCCGACAGTTTAATAACCCCTGCATGTGGAGAAGAAAAGCTGCATCACGTCACCAGGTTTGCCACATACCCTTACTCAGTAAGTCTCTGTCTTTTAAGGAAAGAAAACTGCAAAGAGGCAGGAACACCAGCTCCCTTGATCCATGGGTTCATTTAATGCAAATGTGTGCAGCTGGGAATCAGCTTTTTCTTTAGGTGAGGAGTAAAGGTTTGCATCTGAATCACAAAGATCTTTTTATTTAAGCCAGCAAATGAAGCTACTGGGACAATGGGGAAGGTTGACACTAGACACTGACTGCATATTCAAGAATCACTGTTATAAAAGAAGTTAGTATGTCAATCACTGCCAGTACAAGAGAGATGAACTACTGTCTTGAGCATTTGCTGGTGTTGGAATAACAGCTACACTGTCAATCGCTCCAAAACAGGGATTCAGCTCACACTGACAGGAATATTATTGTCAGTACAGCCTAAACTAGCTCCTAGACACTGCATCAGCAAAAAGCACTCACCTGCCAGCCTAGTTGTGCCCACGTGAGGGATTTGCAGACAGAACTATGACAATTAGGAGTCAGACTCTTTCTTGTTAAAACTGATGGACCAACAACATGTCTCTATAGCCTAAAACTTCAGCAGCAATGCCTCAGCTCATTTAGCTTCCAAGCAACTAGTCATGTATGAGTATGTGTGCATGTAAAACATCAAGCATACAAAACCATTACAAATATTCATCTAGCTCTTGTACTTAGGAGGATTATACATTAACTCCAAGCAATACATTAGTCATACTTAAAACAACTTGGAAATTTGGTGCAAGCCAGGGGATGAAGGCCATAGGAAAACAAAAAACACACAAAAATATGCCACTAGAGGAGACACTCTCATCTTTTCTGACACATTTTGTGCTTTTACATGGAAGACAGCTTCATAACTCAGTTTATATTAAAAACATCTTCAAGACATTACAATCCAAATCTGCACATCTGACCACATAAAATTGCCAGTGCTGTCACCTCTTGCTAGAATCAGGGGACACAACCCATAGACTTTTTATTTGTGACCATAATAACATCATTCCTACCATGAGTCCAAACTAAAGTTGGAGGGATTCCGCAGAGTGAGGCTCTACAGTATTAACTCCAACTGAACAGAAATGTCCATTTCTTTTTAGGTATCTCTAACATCCACACAGCTCATGTTTTGTCCAGGAACTGGACTTAGCAAGTACAACATGCAATCACAAAAACATGTTGTAAAGAATCATTTCCACAGATAGGAGTGAGAGTAAAAGCACGTGACAGAAAGCTGAGTTTACAGAGAGCACTACCAAGCACCTTGGCAACATGGCATGGGTCACAGTGTCCTCATGCAGAGGGCTTGACTTAATGGGATACAAGGGGTCAACTCCAACCCCTTTCCTGTCAGCTAGCTGTATCCCCAAAATGAATGAGATCTCCCTAATGACTGGGGCTTTGTGGAGTTGCAGGCAATGTTTGGGATACGGAGGAGGACATGGTTTTTAAGACAGATGGTAATTTTTAAATAGAAACGACTGCTCGTTGCTTCAGCATTATGCAGGGAGCAGTACGTCCCCAGTATTCAAGGTAATTTAGCCCAAGTACATAAATAAAGTGTCTTACTTGCTTGTTAAATTCTACTCAGACACTGATAGATCCCACACAAATGCATACACATTTCTCTATAGACATGCTGGTAGAGAAATGTGTATGCATTTACTCTGTATGCAACCTAGGGATCTGATTATGTATTCGTTACCCCATTAAAACTGTAAAAAATAAAGAGGGGAAAAAAAGAAAGAGGAAAAAACCCCAAGGAATGGCAAATTCACACTAAAGACATGACTTTTAAATGGCTCCAGACTGGCAGTGAATGCACCTGTCACTTACTCCTATGATGCACTTAAGAAAAAAATGAGGATAAAACTCTTCTCCAAGAGTGGCACTTTTCCACTAGCTAATAACTGCTCGTGTTTGGTCTGTAACAGAGCTAAATTCACATGAGAGCCCCACAACATGTCTCCTCACTGTGCCTAAACCACCAACACAGGGGTGGCAGCTGGGAGCAGATGAGAAGCAGAACCAGAAGCCCCCAAAGTGGGGGAGGCACTGGGGACTCTCCTTCCCGTTCCCCACCGTTACCTGGCCAGCCTCAGGCAGGGGCACCACGGCGTTCTTCCTGCGGCCCCCCACACGGAACTTGGCCGCCTTGTAGATCTTCCAGTAGACAAAGAGCACCACGCAGAGGGGCAGGTAAAAAGCCCCGCCAGCTGGCTTTATGGTGTAGGAGGGCTCCTGGCTAACCTGGCAGCACTCCTGCTCAGGGCTGTAGGTCTCCCCCCAGCCAAAAAGGGGGGCGAGTGAGATGGCAGCAGAGAGCGCCCAGGTAAGAGCGATCATGAGGTTGGAGACGCGGCGGCGGGTGAGCGGTGTGTACTCCAGGTGGCGGGTGATGGACCAGCAGCGGTCCAGGGCGATGGCGGTCACATTCCAAATGCTGGCCGTGCAGCACAGCACGTCGAAGCAGACCCACACGAGGCACAGCGCCC